CTAAGAAAATTTCTTTTATCAAGATCGTGTGACCCTATTTCAAAGGTCACTTTGGTTTATCTGACACCCGTTCAGAAAAAAACACCGTAATAGCTTTTATACAAGTCAACGAACAAGAAAGCATCAAAAATCACACCACACACACAATTTCATTCCAGAGAAAACGATTTCGTTTCCTCTTAACTCGGATCAAAGCACTGAAAGCACTGGCTGCATGCCACATTATAGGACAATTAGGCGTCAACTTTATCAGTAAGTATTTTGTATGTAAGTCTAGTGCATATAATTAAAATTCTACAAAAAAATCGATGTCCTTTGCTAAATAGATCTGAAATTTTATATTTATCATTTTACACACATACTTGCATATTTATCCGGATTGGATGTCAACTTTGTTGATAAGAAGATTACTATCTATCATTTATATTACTATTATCATTATTGATTGTATGCTTGAGCAGATATCTTGATAAATTTCTTTATTATTGGAAGGCCTCCCTACTAATGATGGGTCAATTGATCTGTGCTTTTATGTTATCAATATATTGAAGCTTCCCGGTGGAAAAGAAATTAAGAGCGTTGTAAGGGTAAAAAGAAAAAACTGGAATAAAGATCAACAAGGCGACGGCAACTGTCACAGGACGCAGCCCCCGACACACTCAAGCTGCCATAGCAGGGTTATTGCCATTACTAGTGAAATAAACTTAAAACTGAATATATAGAATATATATGTTGTTTTTGTTTTTTAAACCCTAACTTTATTTCAAATTAAACAAAACAAACAAAATTATGACACTTGCAAGACAAAAGTGAAGGGCAGGTAAGTAAAAGTAACTTTAAGAATTCAGTAAGATATTAACCTCACCAAATACAAAAATTATTGTTTAAACTATGTTTTAAAATACTTCCAACTCCTAGACGGTATATAAACTTGGAAAAGGGGCGATGCATACCTTAACTAGGTTTTTTGCTCCTAAATAGCCTGTTTTATCATGACATACTCATTGTTAATAGTTTTGTAAATATTTTGATTTGATAAAAAACTGCAAAGTTCATGTTCACTTCCCGACTATCTTGTTACACGAGTGACTGGTTTCAAAAATACAATAAATAAATATTGATCGGGTGCATTTTATTGCATAAATAAGTTAGGAAGATAAAACTACTTTTCCTGTCTTAGAGCACTGAAATCTTTATTTTTTTCGTCTTTTTTAACCCTACTTTTTTTCTTCTTCTTTCTTTCTGTTTTTCTTTTTCTTTTGTTTTGTCTTTTTTATTTTCCACTTGAAAGCCTGAAATTAAAGTTTTCATTGATAACTTAGCTGTGACCCTGTGTTGCTTGGTCATGTGGGTGTTGCGATCATTGAATGCTACCATTCCTTGTTGGTCTTGTTTTTCGTATGTATGCTCTGGAGATTAGGTGGGTGGTACTCGTAATACTAAGATTGATGAGATAGTGTATCAAAAGCCTTTGTAAATTGTTTCGAAAATTCTGGATATCGTTTTGAAAAGAGCTACTCTAGTATTTTTAACACAGGAACGAAAAATATCTCAGTTACAGGCATTACAATTAATTCCAAAGAATTTCGGTTACAGTGATTATACTGTTATCAAGCGTTTAAGGTCCCTAAGAAATTTTATCTTTGGAAATAAATACTAAGTGTTAGCATTAAAAAATAAGAGAGGTACACAAGATTACTTGCAAAATCTTTATCGACAGGATAATTTTGTTCACAAATCTTGATTTCTTTCACTGTCATGATCAAATGAACAGACTGTCATTTTCTTCCTGTTACTGAAAGATAACGCACCTTCGTATTTATACCCAGGAAGATTTCAAGTAGTAGACTAATAATATCTGTCATATTTTGCGGTTCGGATCGAAATATCCGTCCCCAGGTCACCCGCCCATTGGGCGTAACGAGGCTTGCCGAGGGACGGATATTCGGATCTGAACCGCAAACATATGTCAGATATTTTTTCTTGCATATTCTACCATATTCCATTATATTTTAAATTCTTTATCTTTATTTTCAATGGAAATTTATATCATTACACCCATTACTACTTTCTTACAACAGCGTATGAATTACAACTTCATTCATAACGGTAAAATGACGTCATCCTAAGCGTGCCCTTGTATAGCACGCGAGTCATCTGGCACCCCCATGCCAGATGAAATTTCCGGCATGGATAAAACTCACGGAAACGCCAGTCTGATATGCAAGAAAGAATGTTCTTAATGTTTGGAAAGAAGTAAATTTATGAAATAGAAATCGGGGATGCTACTCATTAAATTATTTGCCCATTAAAGAAGGTTTATTTTACTCGTTTACATTACAAAATCAAAAGTCTCAATAAGCAAAGGTATACTGATATTAAGACGTAAAAACTGACATATAGAATTCATTTACCTGTGAAACTGGAGTGACAATGTGTTACTTAAAGTTGCTAGTGTATTTTCAGTACTTTGATCTAATCTGTAGACCAACTAAACTGTATCATTTTTCACAGAAAATTCCTTAAATTCTAAACAAGTTTCTAATGGAATCATAAACATTTATTGTATCATAGTTTTGGGACCTTTCTGTTGAAAACGTGTCTTCACATACATACACAGTGCGGTAACTGGAGTGCAGGTATTAGTTACCCGCCCTCCAGAGCATGCTCATTGATTGACTCATTTTTTTCTGGGGTTTACTTTTTGTGACGACAGGAATAACGATAGAAATGCCACATTCAGAAGCTGGTTCATTGGTTACCTTTTTCTGGGATTTCATATTGTTACAACTAGGAACGTGTATTTAATTTTGCTTATGATACAAAAGAAAAAGAACATCAAGACACTCGGCAATCTGATTTATACTCGGGGCCTATGCACCCCCCCCCCCCCAGATAGGCTCGTATTTCGATGCTCTTTATATTGCATAACATACATAATGACAGAAGTAAACTTGAATTTGATGTAATGTTCAGAAATGAGTGTGTATGGAACGTGTATGTACGACCCTATCAAGATAGCCTACGAAACGTCACTCATTACATACTCAGATGCCCGTTTGTGCCAGAAACAATTTTTTTTCAAAGGGGGCACCTGAGTTCTTTCTCCACCAGTAAAGCTGAAGAGTCGCCATAATGACGTACACGGTTTTTATCCGATATAACCCCACCCACCCCAAAAACAGAAAATCAAATGAGAAAGGCTTTTAAATTCATCATTTCTTACAGGATGGAATGTTATTAACTGTATTTGATTTAAATACGTAATAGATAGCGTTAAATACATGTCATTACATTATGCTCATTATAGAATAAATATCACTGATGCACTATGTTCGTCTTCATCCAATTCTTCAAAATATTGAAATTGAAACTTTTCAGTATATATCAAACAAACTTCTCAGTTAACAGATATTTTTACTTTTGGTTGAATATAGGTATAAATAAACTTACAGTATTTTAAAAATGTCAAAGACAATAATTGTAGATAATATCTTTCCGTTTTGTCTAGAAAATGTCCGCTTCGCTGGCGTTTAATTTTTTAAGACATCATAATTGCTACTTTCAATAGCTTTTATACATTTTTCTTCGTTATACTCAAGTTATCACAACATGATAGGTTAGAGTGTTGAGAAAAATCAAAAGACATTTTGCCCCGTTTACGACGTTGTCTCAAAAACCTCCCTTGCGTATTTTAGTCATACCCGATGAATTGTGGGTAACTTCTGTACATGTCTGGAAATACCAACTTTCATTTTTGCATGAAAAGCTAATATGAAAAATGCATTTTCTAGCATCATTGTTGCTAAAGGGTTGGTTAAAATGTAAGTTGTTGTTATTTTAGTTAAAATATTGTGATTTGTGTGGAAATTTGTTTACATTTTTTTTTTGGCACCAAATTACCTGTCAAACCTCAGTGGAGCTCCTTTAATAGCGGGCGAAGGGTATAAATTTTCAATTTTACCTAATTCAAGGTATCTTAAAACAAAATGACATCGGGTTATTTCTGTACGGTATCTTGGCCCAATGCGTTAGAGATATGTACATTTTGCTACAGGTTTTAATGTAATTTTAATTAATGTCTTTACAATAAATTTTAAATGAAACGCTATAATAATTGTTGTATATTAGTCATATCAACTACACTTTTTGTAGACTTGTATTATTTAAGAAATAATATATCCAAAACAGTGATTTTATCGCTCAATAACATCACTGTTTGGAGTTCGGACGAGAGGAATTATATCACGAAGGCGTAGCCCGAATGATATACTGATTCGCATCCGAACGACAAAAAGTGATGTTATCGAGCGATAAAATCACTGTTTTGGATATATTATTTTTGTAATTTAGCTCACCTGAGCACAACGTGTTCACGGTGAGCTATTATGATTCCCTGTGTCCGCTGTCCGTGGTCCATTGTCTGTCGCCCATCGTTAACACTTTTACTTAAACGACATCTCTTCCTAAACCCATTGACTAGAAGTGATAAGCCTATACAGAAATGATCTCATAAGCATTATTATTGTATCATGTCTTTACTTGTATATGTTTTATGACTCTAAGATAACTTGTAAAACAATTAATGACTATATATTCGTTTACTTGGGTTATGTACACGTAGAATCTAATATAATGTTTCATGAACTGGAACTGGCCATTTGACCGCTGACAGTTTGACCATAGACTGATTGAAAACTAAGCCACCACAAAACCCAGGACCACTACAATACCAAACTGTTTTTGGACCTTGTAATGTAACTCGAATTAACACTGTACTATTTTTGAGTTAATATTATAAAAATGAAATAAAATTTTATATACTGTTTAAAAGTAAGAAAATTTACAGATAATTTAAATTCTAAAATTGTAACAACAAAAATGGAATCATTAAGAAAAGCTACTTGTGCTTCTTGTGTATAATCGAAAGCAAAATTTGTTAAAAGTGTAGGAAGTGGTTTTGATATTCATAAAATGTAACCGCTATTACCTAGAAATGTTTAACCTTCCTGGTTATAAATATTGCGGACCTGGTAATCCATTAGGTAACGGTCCATCTGTGAATGCATTAGATATGTATGAATCATGGTCATTGTTTAATTATAACTCGAGCAAGCATAATTTTGATAAGCAGATGTTAAAAACTTCAAAATCAATTTCTAATTTTTTTCGGAGAAAAATTATCTAAAATATAAATGTACCACCGGCAATTAATACGAAGTATAAACTTGGTCTACCCTAAATTTAAAAAAAAAAACAGAAAAAAGGTTTAAATCCCGAGTTGAGATTGAGTGATTAATACATTATTTTGTGATAAAATTTGACTGTTTTTCAAAATTGGGATCTTTCTTCTTTTATTCTAATTATCTAAAAAATTAGATAATTATATAATCTCAGTATTTAGATATACATGTGTACACTGTTTGTCAGGATGACACCACCGGTCAATATTTATTTAAGATAACATAGGTATACTAGTCAACTTGACCAAAAAGTTAACATTTCTGGTTAATTATCTTACTCTCTAATAAATATGAGAAAAGCTGTATCTTTAACTACATAGAGGAAAAAGGCAAAAGGTTGTTTTGATGAAATGTATTCAGTGAACATGAAAACAACTTTACATACATTGTATGAAACAGTGCAAATTACTTTCAACAAGTGATAACCAAGTTTGCAAAATGTGATTTTGAATAGAAATAATTGAAACTGATACTTAAAAAGCACAAAGATTAAACAAGAGCCACCGCCAGGTGGGGGCAACGCTCGACTCTTTACTTTTTCTTTAAGCAAACAAAGAAATGTTTGAACAAATATTAACGTTTCCTTTTTATAAATTTAATCCGTCTGTCTGGTCACATTAGTTTTGTCTATATATTTTGAATATCTAAATTTACTTTATATATATATATATATATATATATATATATATATATATATATATATATATATATATATATATATATATATATATATATATATATATATATATAAATAAATGCGTATGGTGTTGGTGGTCCGCATGGTAGCGGTGGTGATCTGCATGGTAGCGGTGGTGATCCCCATGGTGGTTGCGGTCCGCACGGTGGTGATCCGCATGTTGGCGGCGGTCCGCATGTTGGTGGTGATGGTCCGGATGTTGGTGGTGGTGGTCCGGATGGTGGTGTTGTTCCGATGGTGGTAGTGGTCCGCATGCTGGTGGTGGTCCACATGCTGGTGGTGGTCCGCATGTCGGCAGTGGTCCACATGTTGGTGGTGGTCCACTGGTGGTGGTGGTCCGCATGCTGGTGGTGGTCCGCATATTGGCGGTGGTGGTCTGCATGGTGGTGGTGGTCCGCATATTGATGGTGGTCCGCATGTTGACGGCGGTGGTCCGCATGGTGGTGGTGGGCCGCATGGTGGCTGTGGTCAGCATTGTGGTGGTGGTCCACATGGTGGTGGTCCGCATGATGATGATGGTCCATATGCTAGTGGTGGGCCGCATGGTATGTAGTGTGGTCCGCATGGTGGCGGTGGTCAGCATTGTGGTTGCGGTCCATATGCTGGTGGTGGTCCCCATGTTGGTGTGGTCCGCATGGTAGTGGTGGGCCCCATGCTGGTAGTGGTCCGCATATTGATGGTGGTCCGCATGTTGGTGGTCTGCATTATGGTGGTGGTCCGCATGCTGGTGGCGGCCCGCATATTGATGGTGGTCCGCATGGTAGTGGTGGTCCGCATGTTGGTGGTGGTCCGCATGGTGGTGGTGGTCCGCATGCTGGTGGTGGTCCGCATGTTGGTGGTGGTCCGCATGTTGGTGGTGGTCCGCATGGTGGTGGTGGTCCGCATGGTGGTGGTGGTCCGCATGTTGGTGGTGGTCCGCATGTTGGTGGTGGTCCGCATGTTGGCAGTGGTCCGCATGGTGGTGATGATCCGCATGGTGGCGGTGGTCCACATGTTGGTGGTGGTCCGCATGGTGGTGATGCTCCGCATACTGGTGCTGGCCAGCATGGTGGTGGTGGTCAACATGGTGGTGGTGGTCTGCATGTTGGCGGTGGTCCGCATTGAGGTTGTGGTCCGCATGTTGGTGGTGGTCCGCATGGTGGTGGTAGTCCGCATGTTAGTGGTGGTCCGCATGTTGGTGGTGGTCCGCATGTTGGCAGTGGTCCGCATGTTTGTGGTGATCCGCATGGAGGCGGTGGTCCACATGTTGGTGGTGGTCCGCATGGTGGTGATGCTCCGCATACTGGTGCTGGCCAGCATGGTGGTGGTGGTCAACATGGTGGTGGTGGTCCGCATGTTGGCGGTGTGGTCTGCATGTTGGCGGTGGTCCGCATGGAGGTTGTGGTCCGCATGTTGGTGGTGGTCCGCATATTGGTGGTCCGCTGGTGGTGGTGGTCCACATGCAGGTGGTGGTCCGCATATTGATGGTGGTCCATATGGTGGTAGAGGTCCGCATGCTGGTGGTGGTCCGCATGTTGGCAGTGGTCTGCATGTTGGTGGTGGTCCGCATGTTGGTGGTGGTCAGCATGCTGGTGGTAGTCCGCATGTTGGCGGTGGTCTGCATGTTGGCGGTGGTCCGCATGTTGGGAGTGGTAAGCATGCTGGTGGTGGTGGTCTGCATGCTGTTGGTGGTCCGCATGCTGGTGGTGGTCCGCATGCTGGTGGTGGTACGCATGGTGGTGGTGGTCCAAAAATTTGGACTTTTGACCTTGAAGGTCTTTGACATTTTCAGAAACAAATGAAACATTTTTTTAGGCCTTAAGGAAAATTCTCTAGATTGACCTACAAATGAACCTTAGAATGATGTAATGGCCATCTGAATACTAGGGCACAAACAGAAAGATACAAAGCACATTGACCTCAGATCTCTGTAAAGCAAACAGATCATGACATTAAGACATTCAATCTTTTTTTTATGCATAACATGTACATGTGAACTTTTGTTCAAGAGGGAGAATTTATTTCAAAAAGAGGGAGATTTTTTAATTGACAGGAAATTTTGAAATGAAAAAGAAGGGAGATTTCTTTATTTTTTTTTAAACACTCCTATTTCTAAGAAAAATATTTAAAAATTTGACAGGAGAAAAAAGGTGTCTCCCACTCAAATTGGGAAAGTTTACATGTTTGCATGTACACATATATGGAAAATTCCAACATGAGTTATTTTCCTTTCATTATTAAACTATAATTTGAAGAAATGCCATCGCCCAGGGCATTTTAGCTATAGTTGCTCCTAATATTTTTAGCTATAGCGGCCCCTTAAAGGGACCAATCAAATTAATATGAGCAAATTTGATAAAAGACTACCTAATAATGCTACAGACAAAGTTTGGTGATCATCCATCAATTAGTTCTTTAGAAGCAGAAATTTCTATTTTTAGCTATAGTGGCTCCTATAAGGGGCCAATCAAATTAATATGAGCACACTTGATCAAAGACTCCCTAAGAATGCTACAGACAAAGTTTGGTGATCATCCATCAGTTAGTTCTTTAGAAGAAGTTATCTAAAGGTTTTTCTATTTTTAGCTTTTGAGACCCCTAAAAGGGGCTAAGCAAATAAATATGAGCAAATTTGATAAAAGACTACCTAAGAATGCTACAGACAAAGTTTGGTGATCATCCATCAATTAGTTCTTTAGAAGCAGAAATTTCTATTTTTAGCTATAGTGGCTCCTATAAGGGGCCAATCAAATTAATATGAGCACACTTGATCAAAGACTACCAAAGAATGCTACAGACAAAATTTGGTGATCATCCATCAATAAGTTCTGCAGAAGCAGACGTTTAAAGATATTTCTATTTTTAGCTATAGCGGCCCCTAAAAGAGACCAATCAAATTAATATGAGCAAACTTGATAAAAGACTATTTAAGAATGCTACAGACAAAGTTTGGTGATCATCCATCAATTAGTTCTGCAGAAGCAGTCATTAAAATGTATTTCTATTTTTAGCTATAGCAGCCCCTAAAAGGGGCCAATCAAATTAATATGAGCAAACTTGATAAATGACTACCTAAGAATGCTACAGACAAAGTTTGGTGATCATCCATCTATTAGTTCTGAAGAAGAAAATGTCTAAAGGTTTATCTATTTTAAGCTCTAGAGACCCCTAAATTAATATGAGCACACTTGATAAAAGACTACCTAAGAATGCTACAGACAAAGTTTCGTGAACACCAAATAGTGCTGTAGAAGAAGACATTTAAAGGTATTTCTATTTTTAGCTTTAGAGATCCCTTAAAGGGGCCAATGAAAATAATATGAGCAAACTTGATAAAAGACAACCAAAGAATGCTACACACAAAGTTTGGTGATCATCCATCAAGTAGTTCTATAGAAACAGACGTTTAAAGGTATTTCTATTTTTAGCTATAGTGGCCCCTAAAAGGGGCCATTCAAATTAATATGAGCAAACTTGATAAACGACTACCTAAGAATGCTACAGACAAAGTTTGGTGATCATCCATCAATTAGTTCTGAAGAAGAAGATGTCAAAAGGTTTATCTATTTTTAGCTCTAGAGACCCCTAAAAGGGGCCAATCAAATTAATATGAGCACACTTGATAAAAGACTACCTAAGAATGCTACAGACAAAGTTTGGTGAACACCAAATAGTGCTGTAGAAGAAGACATTTAAAGGTATTTCTATTTCTAGCTTTAGAGATCCCTTAAAGGGGCCAAATGAAAATAATATGAGCAAACTTGATAAAAGACAACCAAAGAATGCTACACACAAAGTTTGGTGATCATCCATCAAGTAGTTCTAAAGAAACAGACGTTTAAAGGTATTTCTATTTTTAGCTATAGTGGCCCCTAAAAGGGGCCATTCAAATTAATATGAGCAAACTTGATAAAAGACTACCTAAGAATGCTACAGACAAAGTTTGGTGATCATCGACCAAATAGTTCTGTAGAAGAAGACATTTAAAGGTATTTCTATTTTTAGCTTTAGAGATCCCTTAAAGGGGCCAATGAAAATAATATGAGCAAAACTTGATAAAAGACTACCAAAGAATGCTACAGACAAAGTTTGGTGATCATCCATCAAGTAGTTCTATAGAAACAGACGTTTAAAGGTATTTCTATTTTTTAGCTATAGTGGCCCCTAAAAGGGGCCAATCAAATTAATATGAGCAAACTTGATAAAAGACTACCCAAGAATGCTACAGACAAAGTTTTAGTGATCTTCCATATATTAGTTCTGTAGAAGAAGATGTCTAAAAGGTTTTTCTATTTTTAGCCCTAGAGACCCCTAAAAGGGGCCAATCAAATTAATATGAGCAAACTTGATAAAAGACTACACAAGAATGCTACAGACAAAGTTTTGGTGATCATCCATCAATTAGTTCTATAGAAACAGACATTTAAAGGTATTGCTATTTTTAGCTATAGCGGCCCCTAAAAGGGGCTAATGAAATTCATATGAGCAAACTTGATAAAAGACTACCCAAGAATGCTACAAACAAAGTTTGGTGATCATCCATCCATTAGTTCTGTAGAAGAAGATGTTTAAAGGTTTTTCTATTTTTAGCCCTAGAGACCCCTAAAAGGGGCTAATGAAATTCATATGAGCAAACTTGATAAAACACTACCCAAGAATGCTACAGACAAAATTTGGTGATCATCCATCCATTATTCCTGTAGAAGAAGATGTTTAAAGGTTTTTCTATTTTTAGCTCTGATGACACCTAAAAGGGGCCAATTGGAATGACATGAGCAAATTCAAGTGTAACTGTCACAAGGATGTTACAGACCAAATTTGAAGTACATCTGCCCAGTAGTTTCAGAGAAGAAGACGATTGTTGACGCATGACGACGGACGACGGACGCCGGAGCATCCCCCTTTGATACCTATAGCTCACCCTGAGCCTTCGGCTCTGGTGAGCTAAAAAAAACAATATAAGAGCATTTAAACGAATTATCTGGAAATGTTTCACAGCAATATATTTACTTTTAAGAATTAAATAGAATTATCAAAATATTACATAGGATCAACTGAAAATGAATGTATCTACTAAGATAATACTTCTCTTTCAGATAGAGATGATAAAGCCAAATATTACTAATTGAGGTTGGTAAGGTTGTTAAAGTAGAGATTAATCTTATCATTATTCATTTTTTAAAAGACCTGAAACTCATATATTTCCTCCAAGTCAATTTCAGTTAACAATTGTGGACAAATAACTAATGACGATGAATTAATTCACAGAACAAATGGTGTTAATCCGAGTAAAGTTACTTTAGCCAAGATGGTTCTGCGGGTTCCTCGTTTAACATTCAATGAATACAGATAGAGCTTAACTTCAGATTATAACCTAAAGAAAATAAGACTCATCTCAGAGAAATGATAAAACAATCTGTACATTCTCAACTAATTAATAATAATTTTAAGATAACAGCGGGTGTAATAAATCCAAAATATGTTTTTATTTATTTACATAGAATAATATAACTATATTTGTTACATACATTCAAAGTAAATGCAAATTATTATTATTGTAAATACGCATCTTATCATCTTGAAGTTGATAACTGACGGGGTCTTCACCTCTGATTTAGATTGTACTGAGATATCAAGACTATATGATGATGTTATCAATTATTTTCATAGGCAAACTGATAAAAAATACAAGAAGTCTCCTAAATAGAAGAAACTGTCAAAGTTTATTCCGATTTGTTCATTTTCACTTAGAGTTTATGAAGAACTGGATGGCCACCGATCCAACACAAACTATATCAGCTAAATTAGATAATCTACCAGCGGCTCGAATTCGTGTTAATGTAATCGTGTTGTATAAACAAACTAGGCATTTAAATTCAATCGAAAAATGAAATTGTTGTTGTTTACATATCTAAAAATATCTAAATACATGAATATAAGTAGTATAGGGGTCGGTTTGGCGTCACGACAGCGCATGCGCGACGCCATATTGGATTTTATATATAGAATGACATCATCGTTCTATTTTTAGAATGTGATCATCCGTCTATTTTTAGAAATTTATTTTTAATCTCCCGGAAGTATACGGAGCTGACTCGTATACCCGATCTAAGGGCTTGAATTGCGGACATTGTAGGTCAGGTCCTCGGCCCTAGACGGAGAGATAATTACCATCATTACAGATAAAAGAAATGTTTGTAAATAGATACGTGCTTTACATTTTAATTCATAAATTTTAATAAAAACAAATAGTTTTTAATATGTTCAAAATAAATAATATTTAATATTTATAAAATATAGCTCGTTTACTTACCTCCTCTAGTAAGGAAATGACTGCCATAGGGTAGCGTCCTTATAGACTGCGCATGTGCCGATCTATTTTTAGTCGCGGTATTTCACAATCACCAGGAGCTATTTCATCACGCGGGTGTCAATGAAAGAAAAAGGCATTAAGTACAATCGTCGCTCAGTCTAGATTTACAATACCTAGCGGAACTATTTTGAACAAAAAGCCTTTATCCTTCGTTACTAAATATAGCTTTTCATTAATCACAAAAGATGAAAAGAATTTATTATCCTTTCAAACGCAGCGACCGTCGAGTAAAAACTCATTAACCAGAAATTGCTACGCATGCATTAACATATTTTAATGTTAATTTAATTTAATTTATTGAAAAGTTCCATCGCCACCACCAGGTGGCGATGGTTGTGGTTGCGGCGGTGGCGGTGGCGTGGGAGGTGGTGGTGGTGGTTGTGGTTGTGGCGTGGGAGGTGGTGGCGGCGGCGGCAGTGATGGAGGTGGGGTGAA